TCTACTTCCTCTATTTTTCTAAGTCAGCAGAAATACATTAATGAGCTTCTCATGCGTAGCAAGATGCATGATGTGCGCCCGATTGTCTCCCCTGCCGAGCCCGGTTCTCGCCTCTCAGCCTCTGGTGATCCCATGGAAGATCCCAATCTCTACCGTAGTATTGTTGGTGCACTACAATATGTTACCATCACCCGGCCAGAAATTTCTTACGCTATTAATCGTGTGTGTCAGTTCATGCATGCTCCCACGGACATCCATTGGCAAGCCGTCAAACGCATACTCCGTTATCTCAAGGGCACCATAACCACAGGACTCCATCTTCGGCCTTGCACCGATACCCGCCTAGTTGCTTTCTCAGATGCAGGTTGGGCTTCTGACATTGATGACTGTCGTTCCCAACATGATTTTGCCGTTTACTATGGTGGTAATCTTATCAGTTGGGCCTCCAAAAAGCAGCATGTTGTTGCCAAATCAAGTACAGAGGCTGAATATAGAGCCATTGCCTTTACCTCCACTGAACTCATTTGGATTCAACAGCTACTACAAGAACTACAGGCCCCGTTGCACATCCCACCTATTCTTTTATGTGATAATCTTAGTGCTACTTACATGGTTGCTAATCATGTGTTTCATCAACAGTACGGTCCAAGCATATAAAAATTGACTATCACTTTGTTCGCGAACAAGTTACGAATGGATCTCTCATTATTCATCATGTTCATGCGTTAGACCAGATTGCTGACATCTTCACGAAAGCTGTTGGGAACACTCGGTTTACCTCTCTTCGTTCCAAGCTGCATGTCGTCCAATCTCCATGAGCTTGCTGGGGGGTATTAAGGATAGTATATTTCATATTATGGATAATATATTTTGTATTTATTGTTATATTCTCTTGGCTTATTAGGTCCATGTTAAACCCATTGTAAAGCCCTAATAAGCCCAAATCTCTTGTATTTAAACACTCCCTCATCATGGAATAAACTTAACCTTGAAACCCTAAACACTTCTAATTATTAACATCTGATCACACAGAAGCTGGTGATCTCCAACAACAAGCAGTCGGCCAATGAAATAAGATGGGGTGGAAAGGGTCAAAAGGCAAGAAGGGAAGAAATATTATACATAGTAAATCACAAATCACTAACATGTCAAAGACTAGTGATATAAAATGGGGTGAACACAGAAGAAGAGAAGAAATATGAGAAGAAATATAGAACAATAAGTCACAAATCACTAACATGTCAAACACTAGTGAAATGAGATGGGGTGAAAAGGGAAGAAGAAAAATTAATGACTTCTAATATGGAAAAAACGAAAAAGAGGAAAAGGGGAATTAAAAGAAACTAATACTTTCCCTTTTTAATATATCGAAATAAAAATAAATATAATAACACTCCCTCCGTATTGTAATATTTGCTACATTTTCCCTTTTAGAATGTATTTTAATTTTTGTTATATTTATCATTTTGGTAACTTTTGTCTTTTAAAACACTCATTAACCCTTAATATTTTTACTTTTATATTCTCGTTCATATTTTTCCATCAGCTATCATGCTACTTCTACATTAATCATTACTCTACTCAGTGTTCTAAGGGGGCTATAACGTGTCATAGAAACGGGCCTAGACGTAAGACATGGACAATATGTGAGATTATTCCAAAATTACGTAAATGTGATTGTTGATGTTTATTCCTTCAACCCTTGGACCCAACACGTAAGCCCAAAGATTTCGAGTGGAGTAAGTGTAAGGATGTCTAGCCCAACAACTATCAGATGGATCAGGAAAACAAAAGCAATAGCAGGCAATGTAAATAGGTATTATTAACTTCGTAATAACTCCCCCAAGTACAATCTACTTGCTAAAAAGGGCACGTCGGCCGTTCGTCTTACAAGGCAATAGAAGTGCTGCCAGTCAGAATGCTATAGCTAGAGTGCTAATAATAGAAAGTTGCCAACCCTTTACAATGAAATAAATGCTACTATTTATACCCGCCAATGGGCAGTTAGTCCTGATGATGTGGAGGATTGTTAGTGGCTATGGCCCAACCACCAAATCTCCAGCATTAAATGCGCTTCCCGCCAGAATCTGGGTTCCCCGCCTAATTGATGACCACGATCGTCGGGTAGAACCGGGGGCCGTTCGTCTGCGGCCCTTCCTGGGAACGTAACAATCTTTTGGGCCTGGGCCATCTACGGAGATGGGCCTCGGCTGACGACGTTCGTCACGGATGTGCTAACCGACCCTCGGCCGGGACCTTGAGCTGTTATTCCGGAGATAGACATTCGTCCTCATTCCTTCAGGCCAGGGCCCTCCGTGGGCTGGGCGACGTACGTCGGTTTGGGGGTAATTGGGCCGGACCCCTGCTCGGGGCCATTTACCCAACAGTGATATTATTATAAGAAGGTCGGTGAAAGATTGAATTATTGTTATCATTTTTTTTTTCCACTCACATTATATTGAACATTTTAAATAAATTCAACCAAACACTCCCTAATAGTTGACTATAACGGACAAATAAATACAACGGGTCTGGCGTGTAAATTGAATTAGAATTAAATGAAATTCTATTTATTGTGCTTTGAAATGCAAACCAGCATTTATTTTTTACTCTTTTGTGGATGGGACACATTCGTCCAAGATTTGACAAAGATAAAAAGTTTGTGATTGAATCGACCATGGAACTGTTTGAAATTTGGATCTCTCGACTAAGAAATACTCCGTATTATTGGGAGGTAATATTTAATGTTTTGACACTGTTTACATTATTTGACACTGTTTAGTACTGTTTTGATGTAGGATAACTTTCCATTTAAGGAAAGAAGAACTTCATTTTGGAATTGCTACAAAAGGAAAGCAAGAAGATCTTAGTGGGAAGGAAGGAGTATGAATTGATGGGTTGGAATTGATTTTTCTTTTGTGTCTTCCTAAAAGAAACAAAATCAATTTTTTTAAAAATTTGATATGCCCCAACTTTTATAAAACTGTTTTAGGAACAATTTGAAGCATCCAGAAACATTTCTACGTTTTCCGTACGGTTTGGTTTGATCATTTAATGTAAATTGTATGACACCTTTCAAAAATATTTTGCACGAAACAATATAAAATATTTTGGCGTAGTGGAGGGTGGTAAAATATTTTGAATACTTTTTATAAAGCATTACAATGTCTTTGTGTGCAATCTAAAAATAAATTACATATCTAACAAAAAAATGTATTTAGGGGGTGTTTGGAACTGATTCTGCTTCTGCTTCTTTTTTAAAGCAGAAGCTGAGAAGCAGAATCAGAATCAGTTTTCAAAACATGCCAAAACTAGAAAATGGCATTTGGAATAAAGAATTATCAATAATATATTGCAAGTAAATAATTTAATTTACTAGATATAGCAACTCCGAGAGTAAACAAGCCTAACCGAACTAAAACATAGGCATGCTCAAGCTTGTTGATAAGAATGCAACGGCTTGAGCTCGATCGACCCTAATAATTGTTTGCTCGAGCTCGATTCCTGCTGAGCTCTACTCACACGAATTCGGTAAAATAAAACTTCCAATGTCGAATTTGAGTAAAAGGATGAATGTAGATAGGATAGTTTGTCGAAAAAAGAAATGAACATCTTATTTTTGGACAGCCCAAAGTGAAAATATGTAATTTATTAGTTGGGAATAGAGCGGGTGTTATTTATACATACATACATACATGCTAAATAATTATATAAGTAATATACTCCCTCCATCCCATTGAATTCTTTCAACTTTTCCTTTTGGATCGTGCCAAAAAATTCTTCTAACTTCCACTTTTGCAAAAAATATGTTCACATTTATTCACTTTTTTCTTCTTACACAACAACAATCATACATTTTCACTTTATTCACATTTTCTAAATTTGCAAGCCAAATTTGACTTGAAAGAATTTATTGGGACGGAGGTAGTGTATAATAATTTGAAAAAGGATATCCAGATTGATCCGTTTTAAAATATTATTTAAATGAAGTCTATTATATCCCTTTCATAAATGTCATGAATCTACCAATGCACACACATATTTGAATGATATATTTATGTTATTTACTTCCTCCATTCTTTATTGGTTGCAACATTCTCATTTTTCATGTTTGCTAGTGTATACCTTTGACAATAAATATGTCTAAAAAATCAATTAAATCACATTTTGAAAATTTGACGTGAGAAAAATCTATTATATTTCAAAATGGAACTACTCCCTTCATTCTCATTTTGGTTGTCTTACTTTCCTTTTTGGATTGTCCCGAAATCGATGTCATGTTTCCATTTTTGGTAAGAAATTTGTGGTTAATATCATTTCTCTTCATTCTACTCAAATCTCAACCACAACTTTTATTTTTCAACCATTTCATTAATAATCGTGCCAAATTGAAATGAGACAATCATAATGATTATATGAATAGTGTAAATGTCTAATCTTTGAACTATTTAAAAACGGGGTTATATATGCTTATGGTTTGCGAGTCGACAACACAAACATAAGTCAAAAGGAGCTGATCCAATATTTTTGAAATCGAGTTAGATCGAATTTAAGGTAAGTTTTGACCGAACTGCTTACGAGCCTAGCTTACGTGCAATTTGACTGCCAACAATGGTACAGCCATATGACTAATTATTATTGATATTGACGGGCAGGTAGTCCAGGTACACTTAGAAACACATACAGAGTATTTTCAAATATTCTCAAGAACCGGTGGGCGTAGCTCAACTGGTAATGAGGGAGTGTCACAAGGGTTATGTCTGAGATTTGAATCTCGGCAATTGCGATAAAGGATTACTATGCTGAAAAATGCATAGGGCCTCTGCAAGTACTGGGGACGGAGTCCACTCTCTATATGTCAGGTTGTGATTATAATCCAACTTACATCCTCCCATCGTGCTGTCCGATCGGTGTTGGGGGACCTTCACGGGTGGGGTGTGATCCTTCTTTTTTTCAAATATTCGCAGGAGGCTGGATGAGTCGAGACTCAATTGTTGTAGGCCCAATAAAAAACGTGACCTATTCGACCTCTTTCCTATAAGGAGTGTGAACTGTGAACCAAAGTTATCCGTTTTATAAGCACAACATCTACTGGGAAAAAAATTCACAAATCGTGAAATCGTCAAACTTGGATTTCCTGTTCGTGCGCAGATTCCAGGAATCCTATTCCGATACCACCACCGCATTCCAGCAGCCAGTTTTTCAGATTCTGTTACATATACGATCTTATCTGCTAAACCGATCGGTCAGAATTTCAGAACCGCTTTTGCCGATGGAGGAAGACGACCTTTGTACCAAGGATGGAACTCTGGATTATCGAAACCGGCCTGCAAACAAGACTAAAACCGGCACCTGGAGAGCCTGCCCTTTTATCCTCGGTAATTTCAAGTTTCATCTGCGTTTCTGAATTCTGATTAGTGATTATTATTACTGTGATTTGCTGATGATTTGAAATAACGAATCTGGACAGGGAACGAATGTTCGGAGAGATTGGCTTATTATGGAATGAGTTCGAATCTCATGATTTACTTCCAGACTCGTCTGAACCTTTCGAACATTAGCGCTTCTAAGAGCCTCTCGAATTGGTCCGGCACTTGCTACGTCATGCCCCTCGTCGGAGCTTTTCTCGCCGACGCGTACCTCGGGAGGTACTGGACCATTGCCAGCTTCTCCATCATCTACGTTATTGTGAGTCCCCATCTTCTTCGTATTACTATAATTAAGTGGTATTAACGGTCCAGAACAAGTAAGTTTCTGTTTTTGTATTGATCAAGTGGAATCATATCTTATAGGGTAATAATCTATCTGATTATCGAAACGTTTGACCAAAAAACTCAACATCATTAGTTCATTAGTAGTAATTGCGCAACAGATTCAAAAGAGTTGATAAACCCATCCGTTTTTTTGAATGGATGACGCTATAGTCTATAGTTTTTTCAAAGAGATTAATAAAAAGTAGTTGTAATGAGTCAGCTAGAAAAAGTGTGAAATATAAGAAAGATAGTATTGCATATGAAAAGTACAAGTTTACAAAAATAGAAATCTGTTGAATAAAAAACAAAACTTTTCAATAAAGAGTTTAGGTCATTTATTCAAGAATGGGAGTATATATTATATTATCAAAATCACATATTGAAATTTAATAAAATATAAATTAATTTATTTTACTAAAATCAATTTATATTTTAGTATAATAAATCATACATGAATTAATTATGTATGATTAATACTATTATTTTAACTATTTGTTTTAACTGTTAAATACGTAGTACATTATTATATACTCCGTATTACTTTAATTATTAGAACTAAATTAAGGGTTTCATGTATGTGAGCCTGCAATGATTTTGATCTAAGTCTATTCACGATTCAATTTACTTTAATTATCAGAACTAAATTAAGGGTGTCATGTATGTGAGCCTGCAATGATTTTGATCTAATTCTATTCATGATTCAATCTAATTTTCAAATCATAATGGATAGCTCAACTCTCGAGACTTATATTGATAAATTCTATAAATCATTTATGTCATGGCGTTTTTTATATTTGATTTAATTTTTTTATTACTATTATTAATTTATTTTATAGGGGATGACTCTGTTGACGCTATCAGCATCCGTTCGTGGCATCAGCCCAACATGTACAGCACAAGACAAGTGCTATGCAACAGGGTCACAAACGGCAGTGTGTTTTGTCGCACTGTACCTGGTGGCACTAGGGACTGGTGGGATCAAGCCGTGCGTCTCCTCGTATGGTGCGGACCAGTTTGATGATGCTGATGAGAAAGAGAGGAAGCAGAAGAGTTCCTTCTTCAATTGGTTCTATTTCTCCATTAACATTGGGGCGCTCGTAGCTTCATCGTTGATCGTTTGGATTCAAGAAGACGTGAGTTGGGCATGGGGTTTCGGTGTTCCTGCAGTGGCAATGGCAGTTGCGGTTGGCTTTTTCTTCTCGGGGACTCGTTTGTATCGTTACCAAAAGCCCGGGGGCAGCCCTTTGACACGGCTGTGTCAGGTTATTGTGGCTTCCTTGAGAAAACGCAATGTCAAGGTGCCTGCTGATGAAACTCTTTTGCATGAGACATCTGGCACTGAATCTAACATTAAAGGGAGCCGTAAGCTTGGCCACACTAATGAATTGAGGTTTTTCGATAAAGCAGCTGTGGCGGTGGGATCAGATGACAAGAAGAGATTGGTTAGTCCATGGAGACTATGCACGGTGACACAGGTGGAGGAGCTCAAGTCAATCATCCGCCTACTCCCAATATGGGCTACGGGCATAGTGTTCAGCACAGTCTATGGCCAAATGAGCACACAATTTGTGTCACAAGCTGAAGGAATGAACACCAAAGTAGGAAAGTTCAAGATCCCCGAGGCATCACTTAGCGTTTTCGACACAATCAGTGTCATCATTTGGGTCCCAATTTATGACAAGCTTATAGTCTCGTTGGCGAGAAAATTCACAGGTCACAAAACGGGCCTTACCCATCTCCAGAGAATGGGGATTGGGTTGTTCATATCAATTCTAGCCATGGTTTCAGCGGCTGTGTTGGAGATGGTGAGGCTTGCAATGGTGAAGAGAGACAACCTTTATGAGGTTAAGGAAATACCCATATCGGTTTTCTGGCAAGTGCCGCAATACTTCATAATTGGATGTGCCGAAGTGTTCACATTCATAGGACAGTTGGAGTTCTTTTATGATCAAGCCCCCGATTCAATGAGAAGCTTGTGTTCTGCCCTTTCTCTTACAACCACCGCTATTGGGAACTATTTGAGCAGTTTCCTTGTCACCATAGTTACAGACATTAGTACGAGGAATGGAAAGCCCGGGTGGCTGGCCGACAACCTTAACTATGGCCACCTGGATTACTTCTTCTGGCTTCTGGCTGCGCTAAGCGCACTAAACTTGGGAGTTTTTGTCGCCGTGGCAAAAATATATACATACAAAAAGGCGATTAATAGGGACTCCGACCTGGTTGAAGCTGACTGCTGATAATTGTATCCCTTAATTAAGCATCGTCCTTTCTCCGTGTTTTATGTACAGACTCTTATTGGTTGTTTTAATCTATATGAAGTGGAAAAACAATTATCACAGATGTCAAGTTGGTTTGAACTTTACTAGATTTTGCCGTATTAAAGATAGCTTTCCTTTTGTTCTGTTTATTGTTTCTACCAAATGGGTGAGAAAAAAATGAATAAAAATAACATGTGGGTATTGTTCTTCCTTTTTGTCCCAGAATTGGTTCGTTACGATATGTTTTTCTTTTCATATACGGTGATATGCCTATTGCCTATTAATGGTTCTTTACTTCTTTTCATATACCAAGGTTTAAACTTTAAAGGTGAGGGGCGCATTGATATGCCTATTGCCTAAAAACAAAAAAAAATGCAATTTCTAATACTTCAACTGTTATATGCGGAGTACCAACTATTGATGTTATAATTTCAAGTAGGGGTGGATCTGATCCGGTCTCGGTCATTGGGAGGAGAAGTCGGGGTTTGGGCTGGTTTTGGGGTACCCGCGTAGTCCGGTCCCGGTTTGGACCAGTCCTGTTCTATTTTTTTTCCATTTCCTCTGTTTCCAAGCTACAAAAAAAATTTTGGCTCGTCCGGGACCAAAAATGAGACCGCAACCGCTCAGTTTGGTTCCAAACGGGTATATCATGATCGTGTGACATGCTCAGACGGATTAAGGGCACTCCTAGGCCCGAACCAGATTTTCTGGACCCAGTCAGGTCCCAAATAATGCCGGACCTGGTCCACCCCTAATTGCAAGTGTGAAAAGTCTGAAACACGGCATCACTTAGATGATACACCATAGTCTACCATATTATCTAGTTCCTTTTTGTCCTCAACCACCATGGCTTGTCTTTTTTTTTTCTTTTTTTGTCCCTTGAGATAATCATCTTAACTAAACTTTCATTCGTATGATTGTGTTCCTATTGATGGTTCCTCTAACCTCAAAATATCGACATCAATGTAATCCCTAAATATGTTCAGTTCACCACTCAAGACTATATATCACTGTGCATGGTGTTTGCAGATAATATTGCATCGATCGATGAGATGAGATCTGTATTAAAACAAGATTAGAATCATGTAGAATTATGGCGACTCAGATTGGAGTGCAAGTGTTTAAGGTTGAATTGAAACAAGACTAAGCACATGGTGAGAAAGTCTAGCGGTGGTACATAATGGAAACAATGCTACTATCTTTGATGGTAAAATTATCCCTATGAATGGTGTATCCTGGATTGGGATTCTCTGTCTGGCTTTGCAACGAGGTAGGGTGCCTGTCTTTTACAAGCCTTTGGATTCAATTTCCATACATCTCAAACAGTTCCTTCCTCTACTTGCTGCCCTTGGATTGCATCCAGGTACTGTGCTGTGCGGCAGAGGATCCAACTCCGTGTATTCTATAGAATCAAAACGAGTGTGTAAATGGAAGAGTGCATCAGAACTTCTATGTGATTAAAGTCTATTTATATATAAGAAAAGAAATAGCTCATCTAATTACAATTATTATATACCCTCAAAAGCTCATACGTGTCCATCTTACCAAATTTCTCTCCATTGCTATGCTCCTGCCACGTGGATTCATTCAATTCAATTCATTCATTCAACACATAAAATAGAATCATTAATTATGACGCCGAGCAAAACAGCGAAGTAGATTAAATTAAGTCGGTTTTCTTAAATCTAAAAAATCAAATCTATCATCATACCAGTAAAGCATGATTTCACAAGTCTGTAATTTATGCATTCCAATTCTAAAAAACTCAACCGCCACAACCACAAATCCCGAATTCTATTTTACTCAATTTGAAGGTTTTCTTTTCTTTTACTTTATTTTTCTTAGTACTCAATTTAATGCAAATATGAAAACAGTATTTCTTCTGAGAGGATAAAAATAAAACCCTATTATAAACTTATGAGTAAAAAGCGTTATTTTTTTTTAAAAAATATCATTACCATATAGGGTTGTAAATGAATCAAATAATTTGTGCTCGATTTGCGATTCGAATTCGTATAAGATGATTCGAATTCGGAAAATTCAAATACAAATACAAATAAGAATATTAAATTTGATTCGAGTTGTTATCAAATACAAATAAGAATATCAGTATATTCGATTTGAATATTAATCAAATATATTCGATTAATAATAACAGTAATATTAATATCAATATTAAGAGATATTACCCGAAATAGGATTAAAAAAGTTTGCAAATGCCAAAATAGGGCTTCCATGTTTTTATTCCCAAAATAGGATTAATTACTGTCATGTTTTGGCAGTACCAGACTTCAAACATGACAGTATTTTCCAAATTTGGCAGTAATTAGTCCTATTTTGGGAATAAAAATATGGCAGCCCTATTTTGGAATTTTCAAATTTTGTTAGTCCTATTTCGGGGACTTTCCCTATTATTAATAATAATAGTTATAACACTATAATAACTTTTAAAAGATAGCAATACCCTCAATGCGTACAGATTCTAAGCCCATTTGTAATAAATCAGAATATAAATGCGAATACAAATCATTTTTTTTGGTTCAATTGCCTTGCAAATACAATACAAATAATTATGTATTTGATTTGAAGAATAAAACTAGAGTTTTTTTACTTTGATAAATACAATTATCAACTTATTTCACACATTATAAGTATAATTTCTACTATGTGTGTGTCAGTATTTACTCCAAAAAGTTTGAAATAGATTTATATTTATTAATCATAAAATTAATTCATGTTAGTATATTGTGTAACATCTAAAAATGCATTGATTCATTAAATTTAAATTCTAAAAACACATATTAAGTCACAACATGCATTTACAACATAAAAAAAATACGGAGTATAAGAAAAGTTATTTTAAAGTGATATTTGACTAATATTTAACCTATGCTCAAATCGATTCGATACCTATATATAATTTTGTTAACTATTCGTATTGTTAAACAAATACAAATACAAATCAAAATTAAGTGGTATTTAAACAAATACCAATTGTTTCATTTCTAATAGGGAAATTCGCCCTTTTAGTCACTCAAATAGTGCCTATATTGAAATGTAGTCCCCATATTTTTAAATACACACACATACGTGAATTTGGTTATTATTGTGGACTTCCAATTCTGTACACACAAACGAGATAGACTTGCAAAAGACTTTCAGATGATTCCTAATCTAGCAATTGGAAGAATATTTGAACAAAAAATGTACATTTCTGACTATGTAACTGACCATGATCGAAAGAAGCACTATTTTAAATTATCAAATAGAATAAGAAGCCAGATCAAACTGAATTTAGAAAAAATGAAAATAAACTTACAACTTAAAAGTTCACACTATTCATACGAAGTTATAAAAATAGCAGAAGTTCTTGCAATTGAAAAGATATACTTCACATGAACAAAAAATTCAAAGCTCTAACAATCTAACGGTAGAAAGTACATTAAAATGGAATTATATAATTAAGTACTCCGTAATAAATATGTAGAAGACATTGAAATAAAATTGTTATTGTGTACGTGAATCATTACACATTTGTGTAAGAAGTGAGAGAATTTTCTCTTATATATAGTGTTTTTGATATAAGATCAACTGGTTAACAATTAGGAAGGATAATTTTCTCTCATAAGAAAGGAGTTCTTTTAAGTATAAAATAAGTCGGCTAACCATTGAGCGGCTAAATTTTATCTCTAATATGTAATGCTTTTAGGTATAATATAACCAAAAATTGAGTGACAATTTTCTCTCTTATATGTAGTGGTTTTAGGTATATGAAGATAAGATTTTACGTATAAGAAGATTAGGTCATAAGGCACGCGACTAACAATTGAATGAGATTTTTTTTATCATATAATGTTTTTGGGTATAAGATAAGTTGCCTAACAATTGAGCGGGAAAATTTTCTCTCTGATATGTAATGCTTTTAGATATTAGAAGATAGAAGATAAACATGTTATCAATTGAGCGGAAGAACTCTCTCTCTAATAAGTAGTTCTTTTAAGTATAAGAAGATAAGTTGGCTAACAGTTGTGAGGAAGATTTTTCCCTCTCACGTGTAATGTTTTTAGGTATAATAAGGTAAACCGACTAACAATTGAGCGGAAGAACTTTAGGTATTAGAAGATAAACTTGCTAATAATTGAGCGGAGAAATTGAGAGTGGTGATATTTTCTCTCGTATGTAGTGAACTTAGGTATTAGAAGATAAATTTCCTAACAATTGAGAGGGAGAGTTTTCTCTCTCATACACACTATTTTTCAGTATAAGGTAAGATAAACTGGATAACAATTGAGCGGAAGAGTTTTTTTTATATATCATATATGTAATGCTTTTAGATATAAGATTTTAGATACAAAAAACATCAAGCCATAAGTCGTTTCTCTCTCATAAGTAGTGATTTTAGGTATAACATAATCCAGTTAACCATTGAGAGGGAAAATCCTCTCTATTATATCTCTCATATGTAGTGCTTCTAGGTATTATAAGGTAGAAGATAATCTTGCTAACTATTGTGCGGAAGAACTTTATCTCTCATATATAATGCTTTTAGGCATAAGCTAAGTCAGTTAACAATTGAGCGAGAGAATTTTCTCTCTCATATTTCTTTTTACTCCAGGGGGGTCTGGGGGAGGGGGGCTTGAGGGGCCTGGAGTACTCAGGGCTAAAACTCACTCTATTGAGTTTCAAACCCTTGTGTGCCTGGCAGGGGCGGATTGGGCCTTAGGTCAGGGAGGGCCTAGGCCCAGCCTCAAATTTTTAATTTTTTTAACTAGTATATATGTATAAAAATTAGGCCCATCCTCAAATTTCAAAAAAATGTTAAATATGGAGCAGTCCAGGTCCATTATTCCATTAGTCGGTAGGTTTGTTCATCCGCACTCTTCTATCCTTCCAGCCAAGCCCACCATTAGACCATGGCCCAAAATCTCAATTTCCACATCCAACTCCAAGAATGCAGCTCGCAGGGAAAGAGGCAGCAGCGCAGCAGTCCCCAGGAGTACGCAGTGTTCCATTTCAGCAAAACCCCAAATCCCAACCTAAGCTCCGCATTTGGACGGCGCACGGCGATTTGCCAGTTTGGGCGGCTTCACTGCTTAGTTTCTGGCTTTCAATTCTGCTCTTTGGTGGTAAATTACTAAGCTACTAGGTTTTTAATTTAATTACAGCCTTGTTTAGACTTTAGTATTTCAACCTTGTTTAATGTTAAGATTTAGTTTTATTGTGTTTTTAAA